GGGGGAGATGGGGTGTGGTTTAGGGGGCACGAGAATCGCTTCTACTGTAGCTCCACAAATATGAACAGGGTCCCGGTGGCTTTTCTGTTTAACCCCTTCAAAATTCATGAGGGGATTATCCCGTCATGGGTTGTTAAGCTACTTAAATGCATTTTTAAGATAGTTTAGTTTAGTGTCACTTTAATATAGGGTTTGCTTCTGTAGGGTCTATGTTTTATGAAAATTGGTCTTCTAGCAGTCTACTATATCGCACTGATTAAAATGACACCGATACCGTACGTAGTCTGAAGTGTGCGTTTTAATTCTCAGGGGTTCAAAGGCAGTCAGGGTGATAGCGGGATTGATCTAAGTGCCGAGTCGAGGGAGTCCTCTGCCACGTCTTCACAGCGAAGCTCCCCCTATGGGACCATGAAACCAGAGGAGATTAGTGGGACGGTCATTGTGGAAGCTAAAGCCGATTGCCCCAAGGAGCAGGGACAGAAGCAGTCAGACAAGAAGGTGAGGTTCAGTGCTTGTGCATATTATTCCATTTTGAGATTTGGTCCCTACTTCCCATTAAACACTGTGTAAGTTCCTGTTCACACCACAGACGTTTGTGGCTCGTATTTGTCGGCACAGAAAAGCTACGCACAAAAAATCCTATTGATTTCTATAGTCCCCATTTGCGTCTCAGCAAAGCGTCGCACTGAGAAAAAAAGCTGGTCACTGGAAATAAGTACATAAGCTTCTTTTTTTGGACAAATCAGCGAGATTAGGAATAGGAAAATGAGTCGCATCGCGCTGATCTCCCCAGAAAGAGGTTCATGCTTTACAGGGTTGTGCAGAGCTTTTCCGTGCTAACAAATACGAACTACCATCTCCGGCGGTGTGAACGGGGCCAAAAGCATATTTTTCAACTGCCGTCCTTGTATTTCCAAAGCCCTTAGATATATTTATGGTTTAAGTCTATTGTGTGTTCAGGTTTAAATGACAGGAAAATATAGACACGTTTAGACATTCTGACCTTGCAATGATTTGTTTTTTATATATATATATATATACAGTATATATAACTGAAACTCCCTCCATTTCTTCCAGGAGTCTGATTCTGGCCTAAACAAGGAACACAAACCTGGTCCTATCGGCAATGAGCGCTCTCTAAAGAACAGAAAGGGTTCAGAGGGGACAGAGCGCCTGGAAGGAAACGTCCCACCTGTTAATGGTGTGGAGATTCACGTGGATTCCGGCCTACCTGTACCTCCAATTGAATTTGGCGTAAGCGCAAAAGTGAGCTTTGCTTTGTACTCCCAAGTTATCTGGCGGCTTTCATCAGAATTATAATACAGTTCTGTTCAAATCTGCATTGTGTAAAATTTTAACCTTTTAGTAGTTTGACCATAAAAATTTTTTTTTGCATCAAACATTATTCATATACTACTCGGTTAAAATGACCAGACTGTGAATTGTCGTGACCCTGATAACAGCAGAACTAAACTCCTAAGGCTTCCTTATGCCAAAAATGCATGCTTTCACATTGTGTTGTGCACAATAGACATGTGTTTTCAATTGGCTGGAATGGCAACTCAATAGAAACTGAGCTTGCAGAACTTTGCGAGGTGGTATGAACAGGTCCTAATGAATGCATTGTTTATTTCCTTATCAATCCCTTTTCTTCATGATCATATATGTGTTATGCCCAAATGCTAAAACTTGCACCGCTTTTACTTTATAGTTCGTTGCTAGCCTTCTAAACTCGACTTCAAGATTTTGTTGCTACACTGCTGGTGTTTTTCCTTGGCGACTTCAGTGTAGAGGTCTAGTTATTCAACTGCTTGATCTACATAGAAGCTGTCTGGATGGGCCACTCTTTAGAACGTGCTTTTGAATCTGTACCTGGACCCCTCTGTACTGGACGTGCAAAGTTAGCCTGGGTGGTAACCTTCGGGAACTGGGCTTTACATTGTTTTTCATTCCAGACCTGAGTGTACAGTGTTAGCTGTGGATCGCTTTTCAGGGTCCAGACCTGTGCCTCAACTCCAGGTGTGACCTTGTCTTTGAAGACTCAATGAGTAGGCCTTTCAGGCTGAAGCACAGAGGTGAAAAGGAGTTTTCTATCTTTGGGTACTGTTGACCCTTTGTGGTGTTTGTTTCCCATCAGTCCCATCTCTCTCCTTAGGGATCTGCTGACCTACAAGGTTAACAAGAATTAGTCTTGGCTGGTTCTCTTGCTGATAAGGTTCTGCCCTTTTAGCATTTCACAGGAGTACATGCTCTAAGCATTGTAGCTTACGTCCACACTACTGCCCTTTCCTGGTATGCCCATTGGAGAATACTCAGGAGACGTTCCCCCGAAGAGGGTCTGTTTTCTGGACCCTTGCAATCAAATTCCTTATGGCGTACCTTTATACCTGGAGACGTTGCCTGGAGGGGCATTCAGATAAGATTGATCAAGAAGTCCTGGACACTACTTTGCAGTTTCTGGCGGGGAATGCTTCTCTGTCTAGTGTGTCTCCACACACGAGGCTTTCATTTGGTTCACCAGAATAAACTGTTCCTGCCTCATCGGGGGATCCTTCTGTGAGTCTGTGTACTAACCAGACACAGATCATGTTGAGTGTGTCAGTATTGTGACCCCTCTGATGGTGATATGGCTTTGCCTTCTGAATCTCCTCAGCTGGTGACCTCCCCATTGAGGTGTGCACGTTTAGAACCTGTGTGCCCCTCTTTTCCGGCTTGGCAGGAAGTATTCATCTTTGGATGGCCCAGCACTCCCCTTAGGATTCTGCTGTGCAAGTACCCCCTGTTAGGGTGAGACTGGAGGTCCTTGTTGCACCTGATTTTCAGGAGGTGGGTCCTTTTGTGTGTGGCTGTTTGCAGCTTTTTGAGGAAATTCCTTTTGATTCCTTCTAGGTCTGCACCGATATCAAATGGCAACCGGCCATAGAGGACTACAAATCCCAGAAATTCAATGCAGAATAATATGAAGCTGCATACTCTATGCTTCTCCTTTCAAGCGGCCTGATGTCTTCAGCGGGGAGTCTCAGGAGGGCTGTGCGGGGTCTCATGAGGGCTGTGCGGGGTCTATGGTCTATTTCACTAAGGCATTATGGGGAAGTATGTTTGTAAAACAAATATGCTTCTTTTCTAGTCTGCGCTGGTTTTATAGAAATATACTGATATGAGATGGACACTGACAATATTCTAACTCTGGATTTTTCATGGCATTTCAACAATGTACCCATCAGGAAAATGTGGTCAGTGGGATCAGGATTCAGGGTTTTATCAAAGGTGGTTTTCTGTAGAGGGGGAACGCCTGATTTATCAATCTCCCAAGGTGCATCTGAATGGCATGGTGCTGTTTGTGATGAGATCAGAAAGTGCTGGGGACCTTATTTTATAAAAATTATTAGAATTGAATCTTTTTCTGCAGATTGTTGCATGTGTGCCCATTGATTGCTGTTAGACTTTAGATCTGCCTAAATCTCTCACCCTATATAAATAAGGATTTGCATCCCTGGAAGGTTTGGTTGACCTTATCACTCATAATGTAGACCTGTTGGGGGTTATGTGGCCAGGACTTGATTTTCACATCTAGTAATTATATTGCCTTTGTTTCTCCTAATCTGCCTCCCTAATGCCTGGTTAGTTTATAATACTGGTCCTAACTTTTCAGCTTAGAAACACTTGAGCATTGACTCCATAGCAGTCTGGCAATACAGGTTAGTTGATGTTGCTCTAATGCAGTAATTCAAAAAGTCGACATAATAGTTTGTTTTGCTTCTACAGGATGCAGACTACTCTTTACCCCCAGGGGCTGCTCCAGGTCAAGCTACCAACACAGTTACTAAACTTCAGGATGCACTGGCGAGCAAGGTACATAAAATTTTGAGAATTCTGCATGCAAAGTCAGCTTTGGAAAACCTTAACAGTAAATGTCTTGCCTTCAGCCTGTCCCAACACTTCAAAGTTGCTGCAAACAAGCGGCCGCAGAAATAGAAATGTTCACTAGAGCAATGCATTGTTTTTGCCCTTGATGAGAAAAAGGGTTTTCTTAATTGTAAATTAAATGACACGTTATGCTAATTGAGGTACATAGGGTTATGCTGCTGCCCTCGAGAGTAGATACCTGCAGAAAAAAAGCTGTAAGGACAGCTTAGTATAACCCCTTCATCCCCCTTAAATCATGCACTAGCTTGTTTTTTTGGTAGTGTTCTAGGAGAAACAAAAGAGCAAACCACTCCTGATTTTTCTTTTTCCCCCGTGTTTTTTATCTGGATTTTCTTTTCTAGCAAGATTGTTTAGTTGCTGCAGATTTCCGTATTGGCTGATTCTGAGCAAATCCTAGGAAGGCCTAACCTGGACCCTTCTGGGAGGGAGAAGCAGGACCAGTCTGTAATGTGCCTCAGAGCACTGGACTGGCTGAAGGTGCTTTCCTAGACACACTTGATAACAGCCCAGACCAATGTCTCCTGTCTGAATTGCAACTTTTCTCAGGCCTCCTTAAACCCTTCGGGGTGGCTCCCTCTTCCTTATTCAGGGAGGAATTTTCTGTCACTATGTCTGAATTTATGGGAAAAATGTCATCCTTGTTAGCTGACTCATTACGCAGGGGCCACAAGCATGCATCCATGCCTTATCCAGAGTGCAGCTCTGATTTCTCTCTAGCTGCAGCTGGTTCTGAACAATAATCGGAAGATGAAAAGTGTACTTTATCTGTGTTTGATGGCTTGGTACATAATGAGTCCCAGCCTACTGACTTAACGCCAAGGCTTGATAGCATTTTGTTTCTTTATTGGCTCAGTGCGCAAGTGCCTTGACCTGGTACAAACTTAGTTGGCCATACCAAAGGTCAACAGATGGGTTCTCTTAAGTCGCCAGCCTGTTAAAACCTATCCTGTACACTCAATTGTGCAACCTTCGTTTTTATAATGATTGGCATAACCCTGAAAAAAAATGTATTCCTCCCAAGCATTTTGCCCATCAATATCCTGTTGAGGAGGTGTTCCGTGAAAAGTGGGCTGTCCCCATAATGGATCTGGCCATTTCATGTCTTAACAAAACATTGTCCATTTAGAGGACATCCCAGTGTTTTAAGGCCCTGTGGATAAAATCCTAGAAGCCCTTTTGAAGGCCTTATTCTCCCTTGTTGCCGGATATTATTCCTTTAGTTGCCATAATGATTCTCCTTTCAGTACACATGTGGAAGATCCTTTGGCTGAAATGTTGGTCTGCAGAACATCCATGCAAGAAATGCATTTTGCATATGCTCTCTGATGGGAAACTCCTCTTTGACAAATCCCTGGACATGTTAATCAAGGATGCCACTGGAGGAAAGAGCACTCTTTCGTCCCAGCAAGAGAAGGCTTAACCTCAAACTGCAAAACACTATCTCAGAGGCTAAGCAGAGTTTCTTTTTGTTACCTCCAGTAGCCCAAAGGTTAAACCTGGGTTTCAGCTCTGCCATAAATCTTGGATACCCAAGTCCTCCAACCCCATGAACAAGTCTTCCTCCTTGCAATGAGGGGATGGCCCCACTTATCTAAGTGGGTGGTGGGCGTGCGACGGCATTGTGACCACCAGGACATTTCAGATGTTTAGGTCCAGAACATGGTATCCAGGGTAACAAGCTAGAATTTCCATCTCTACTTTTAGCTCGGCTTAATGTTCTCAAACCTATCATTGTCCCCACAGAAGATTAGCAGACATCCATGCTACTCTGGCAAGCTCCTCACTTAAGGGGTCATAGCCATTGTTCCAGAAAACAAAAGATTCCAAGGTTTCTACTCCTACCCCCTTTACAGTTCCCAAACTAAAAGGGGGCATTCACCCTAAAGATTCTCAACTCCTTCCTTTTGGGTACAGAAATTCTGCATGGAATCTTTAAGGCTGGTCCGTGTTTACCTCCAATTCAGGTTACTTTCTGACCTCTGGACATGAAAACTGCCTATTTTCATGTTTCCGTCAAAAGTTCCTGTGATTTGTAGTGGGTTTGCAAGTTGCCAGTTTGTGGGCCTCCCTTTTGGTCTATGCACTGTAGTTTTCACAAAAGTGCTAACCCCTATCGCCTTTGCTCCTGGGGCATTCCCATAGTATGATTCCTGCACGACCACCTACTGTGGGAACAATTGACACAGATTCTGTCTGTCAATGTCCAACTAACTGTTCAAATGCAGCAGAAATTTGGGTAGATCTTGAACCTCCAGAAACGCTGGAACCAACTCGCCCCTCTCCACTGCCATGTTTGGAAGCTACAGTCCAGTAGCCAACCAACCCCTCTGCTTTTGCATAAGGGTTTTGGCCTTGATGGTACCCTTTTTCAAAGCAGTTCCATATGCCCAGTTCTACTCCAGACCATTGCAACTCAACATTCAGGCTGCGTGGAAGAAGACGGCGATTTGCATTCAGTCGAACAATGCCATAATGGTAGAATACATACATCATCAGGGAGAAACCAGAAGTCTCACTGTGTTAAGAGGTAGATTTAATCTTGTCCTGGGCAGAACCTCTCATTCCCGCCTTGTCTGCCCTGTACTTTGCAGGCGTAGACCACTGGCAGGCAGGTTATATCAGCTGGCAACATCTGGGGGAGTGGTCCCTACACCCAGAGGTGTTCCAGGACCTGTATTACAGGTGGGGGACACCACATGTGGACCTACTGGCCTCCAGGTTTAACATCAAACTAGGCAAGTTTGTCTCTGGCTACAGGGATCCTTTTGAATAATCAGTGGCTGATCCAAGCTGATCAATGTCTTTCTCCCTTGAAACTACTACTGTGTCTGCTTTACAAATAGATGGCATGCCAATGATCATCATTGCTCCAGACTGGCCCAGACAGAAGTGATACACTGGTTCAACCGCTGGCAAACACTCTGTGGGTTCTGCAGGATTGTCAGGATCTTCTGTCCAAAGGACCTATTTGCCATCCTATTTCACAGTTTTAACAGCATGACTGTTGAAGAACAGACTCTGAGGCCTCGTTCACACCTGAACGTTTTGTAGCGCGTTCTACGCTCGACGAACGCTCTACAAAACACTCAAACATCTAAATCCCATTGTATTCAATGGGTCTGGTTCACACCTTGGCGTATTTCAGCCCGTCCCTAGCGCGATACAAAACGGCCCACGCCTGAAAAGGTACATGTACTACTTTGGGCCGTTTTTGTTGCGTGTTTCCATTGGGATACAGCCAAGTAGCCCTCGGAAACGCGCGTTTGTTGCGTGATTTTTTTACCGCAAATCGCGGTTACAAAAAACGCGCGACAGACGCGCATATGCAATACGCCTAGGTGTGAACCAGGCCTGAGGGACAAGACCATCTCTGAGTTTCTGTGTTTCCTATGAAGCTAAAAGCTAGGAAGTCTACAATCCCATAAGGTCCTCCATGGAAGGCATACTATACTTGGTGTGAGTTTCGGGCTTCCACCCCGAGTTTCTCTATGGGATGAGTCCTCACCTTCCTACAGCTGGGGATGAACAAGCATTTGGCTGTTAACACTATTGAGGGCCAGGTTTCTGCTCTTACTAAACATGCGTCCGGTGTGCCTATGTATGAAAATTACAATTGTTCCACATGTGTTGAATTTTGCTGCTAATTCCAGGGCCATCATTCATGGTCAACTTAACATTGATGACCTGTAAAAGCTTTTAAAGTGACACCAATAGATCGGGAAGTGAGCGAACACATACCGTTGCTCGCTCACTTCTCGATCCTGTCCCTTCAGAGAGCCGTTACTGTCACTCACGGCTCCCTGCAGGGATTCTCCCCCTCCCCTGTCTGATCCTCCAGCGCTGACTGGCGTAACGGATGGGGGAGGGGGCGGGTACAGCTGGCTCTGCCTCTAGATAGGCAGAGCCAGCTGTTACTCACGCAGCTAGGTGGATCCAGACAGAATTGTCGGGATCCGTCCCAGCTGCGGCGTCTCAGTATACCGCGAGCTGTAGCTCGCGGTATACTGAGCTTGGGGTGATGGGAGGACGCTAGTTTGTGCCCTCCTGTTAGGAGAACTATGGGGGAAAGCACTGACTTCTCCTTTAAGCTTGACATGTTTGCAATCTATTTACTTGGCGCAACGTTATCTTTTATATTTTACAAAAAAATTGGGTAATATATTGTTCAAGAGCACTAAAATGTAAGTGTATATTTTCACTGAAAATGTGGGTTTGATAAAAAGTTGCGCAAATATGCAACATAAAACAATTGCAACTGCCACCCTTTTATCCTACAGGGTCTCTAATTTCAGAAATAATATTCAGGGGGTTAAGTAGTTTTCAGGCCTCAAATGTGCAATTGTAATGTGTGCAAAAAACCCACAAAAATGGCTCTGGCAGCAAAAGGGGTTGAAAAGATTTTATGGCGAGTACATAATTCCTATTGTGATTGCAACTTCAAAGTAATTGACTGTACACTTTAGGGACCACATTTCTTATTTTCCTCCCCTGTTGAAGTCTCCAGTGACCACAGCTTATAATGGAAGTCTCTGGAAGCTTGAATAAATTCCTTATATCCTACTTGTAAGTAAGGTTTTGTGGACTGGGTTCCAGGACTTGGTAGGCCTGTGTGTAGTTGCATAAACTGTAAGTCCACCATGATTCTATGAGGCCATTTATGTAAAAATGGAGAAGCCAAGCTTGAATAGCGGTGGGGGGGGGGGGGGCTGTTTTAACACCTCTCTCTGGGCAGGTTATTAACACCTCCTAGACTCCAATTATGCAAATGCGATCAACACCTGGCTGCGACTAACAGATTATGTGGATTGGATCGACATTCACCATATTTATCCCCAGATAATTATTGTAAAAGTCATTCTGAATTGAGAAAGCTGGTTGGATGACGTCTTCAAGAAAAATACAGCAAGTCCAGTTGCCTCGACTTATTTTTTACAGATATACCATGTGACCTGGATGAATGAGAACCTTCACAGACATGATTCTATGAGATTCCATGACTTTGCTTACTTAGGTTAAAGTGACAGTCTTACCCTCCCGCGGACCCACTTATTTTTACCTTCCTCACTGCTTTGTTCCATTGCAGCGATCACAAATACCCAGATCTTCCTCGTATGAAAGATGTGATCCCCTAGCTTGCAGTGCTAGTTTAGGTTTGACATTCAGATACATTAAAGTGATGTTCTATCCTATATTGGTATTTTGATTTCTCACTGTTGTTTTCTGTTCAGTCTTAATGATGTGTCAGTAGATCCTTCACTATGTACTCAGAAGGAAATTGAGGAAGTTATAGAACTGAGAGATGTCTTCCCACTCTAGGGAAACCTGGGAAATATAAACAGACTTTTCATATGCAGCAAGAACGTTTTTGAGAAGATTCTGTCACTTTGTTCAATCAGGGCAATGCAACCGGTTAGCTTGAAAGCTTACCACTATACCACTCCCCCCCCTCCTACGGATACTCACCATTCCCCAATCCCTCCTACCACTCCATTTATCTGTCAGAAGCCTTGGAAATACCTTGGGGGCTATTTATTGGAGCAGACAGAATCTGAAGCAGTTGCCCATATTAACCAATCCAGCTTCTCTCTTCAGTTTGTTCAGTTACACTTTGAAAATAAAAGAGAGAAGCTGATTGGTTGCCATGGAAATCTGCTGCAGATTTTGTCTGCTCCAGTTTTGATAAATTCCCCTCCTTGTGTTTCCCAGGTATGGAGGAGCATATCACGATTTCCTCATTCTCCCTGGGTGCAATGTTCAGACCAGAACGGCCAGTTGTCAGAGAGGCAGGGGAGAATAGGGGGGGTGAGAATAAGTGAGGCGTGGAGTCAGCTAGCAAGAGATTGTCATTTAGTCTCGAGTGTCTTTCTAAACTGTGTCCAAATGTTTTGGAATTGTGTTCTCTTTATAGGCAGGGCTTACACAATCCATACCTATGCTGAGGAGAGATCACCATCTACAGCAAGGCATGGGCCTAAACCCCATGTCCTACCCTACTGCCGAACTCACCTTAAAGGTAAGCACAAGAACGAATGATTCTGCCTTTTTGCTAAATATAACGCCTTTCCGTTGGAGATCTTATGAACATTGTGCCAGCAGTACTACCACAGGTGGAAACTGACAGTGCCGCTTTGTTATAACGGAGAGATATTATATACGAGGTTCTTTTTGTTATCTATAATTAGGATGCTCCACTTGTTTCATTGGTAGTGTTACTGCGGGAGATGCATTTGGCAAAAGAAATCTGGATAGAACAATGGTAGCAGACACTGTTGACTTGTATCTGTAGGTGTACACTCCAGACTGCTCATCCTACTACTACTACTCACTGACCGTCAAGTAGTATGGAAATTGGAAGTTGCTCTGGCTACATGCTTGTTCTGGGTCAGTGACTCGTGAAGTTCTAAATGGAGGTTGACTGCTCTAGAACGTCAACCTTTCAGCTTCCTTTGGTTTTTATGGATATGAGAAGATCTCAGAGGGGCATTGAGACCACCTAGTTATGTTCATAACCAAAAGTATAAAAAAAAAAGAAGTTTGTTGACCTATCAACACTTATGTAACATGCCTTTTTTTTTTTATAATTTCAAGATGGAGTCTGCCCGCAAGGCTTGGGAAAACTCACCCAGTTTGCCAGAACAGAGTTCCCCAGCAGCCCCCGGCTCAGGAATACAGCCGCCATCTAGTGGGGGCACCTCCACTGGTGTCAACTACAGCTCCTTTGGGGGAGTGTCAATGTCTCCCATGCCTGTCGCATCAGTGGCCCCATCAGCTTCTCTTCCAGGTAATGAAACCTGTCTTGTTGATTATCATATATGTATTCCAAGTGTCTCTGGTTCATGGCATGTGTGCCTTTATTAAGCTAGAATGAATGTAATCAGTTAATGTACATTTTAAGTTTTGTGTGGTCTTTTAGCAGCATATTAGCATAGAGTCTACCATTGCTGACTTGTTTTTCCAAAGATGCATGCTCCAGTGCTGTCACCCTTAGCTAGGGGGGAGTACCTGACTGGTAACAAGCAAGAACTTTTGGAACGTGATATGCATGTACTTTCTTGGTCATTGACACATTAAGAGGCCTAATTTTGTAAACTGGAAAATAAGTTGTTGCCCACGCTCAGTCAGATTGCTCATTTAATTTTACAGAGTTGGAAAAAAAATTAAACAAAAGGAATCAAACGAGAACTCAGTTTTCGTGGCCCATTTTATATAAATAGCCCTAGCAATGAAATACAGGTCAGTATGACCACCTCTGGAGCATGAACCATCAATGGCTTCCCCCATTTTCTACACTGAGTGGCCAGTTTATTATGACCACCTGACGTTTGTGGGGTAATTAGCTATAATTTGGCGCTGAAGTTGCTAGAGGGCCAGACCATTATAAATAGGGAAGCAGGTTGTTTACCATGGCAGTAGAAGTGATTTTTTTTCTGAAGATACGGGTGAACAACGCCATTTAACAGCCTTTGAACGTGGGATGATTGTTGGCGCTCGGAGCCATGGAGCGAGTATCGGCAAAACAGCAGAATTCGTTAAATGTTCAAGAGCAGCTGTTGTTAAAGTGTTTAAAGACTGGACTGTCAGCTGAAAATCTGGGTCTGAACGTGCGAATTGTGGCCGTCAGCGACTAGTTAATGTTAGGGCAAAACGGAGAGTGGCAAGACTGGTACAAGATAACAGAAGGGCAACAGTGCCGTGTCAGATTCCTCGCATCACCTTTCAACATCTCGTGGAGTCACGAGGCGGCCCAACGAAGTAATCTCATGGCGTTATCTCGTGGCCCAACGAAGTACTGATGGGGTGGTCATAATAATCTGGCCACTCAGTGTATAATGACAGTTTCCCTTTAACCCTTTTGCTGTCATACATCAGCAGCAGCAGCAGAGTCTGTTTACATTTGTAAAGCGGCTTTACATGAAAGTGATTCGGGAGGCCGTAAATCCGCCAAATCACTTCCATGGGCCAGTGCACATGTTGTCTCGGTTTTTTATAAACAGTTGCACTAATATCATGTGAAACTATTCCCCAGGGCCTCTGTTTTCAGGAAATATATCATTATGGGGAGGTGAAGTAATTCTCAGGCCTAAAATGTGCATTTTAACATGTGTGCAAAAAGAAAGTGAAAGGGTTAATGGTCAAGATCACCTTTTAAAAAGGTGTTCTATCTGTTACGCATTGTCGCTTTTTCAGGGGGGTTTTATTTTTTCTTTTCTTTTCACTTTGTTGTGGTTTACTGTGCCCTCTCTGTTCTGAGAATTTTGTGGGTGGCTTAGGTAATCTGTACACATAGGCAATGTGACAGGTTCTCCTGAAAGCTAAATCTAACATCACTGATGCCCACCTTTGAAATGTTCCCCCGTCTCTCTGTTCATCTGTTAAAGTACTTAAAACTACCTGCTGCTTCCAGGTTTGAGGAAGCATGTGACCTGCCCTTCTTCCCAGGATGCAATGCTCAAGTCTGAGTGGCCAGTTCTGAACACTGTCATGTGTGACATGTATGAGTTTTGGCAAATGAACGGAGAAGTAGGGGAATGCAGAAAGGGTGAGTACCAAGTGAGATTTAAAAAAAAAAAAATGGGATGGGGCAATTCTGTTTTAAAGCAAGCACTTAAAACTGATTTTTAGTGAACTGTGATTCTCCATTGGGTGTCCATGCTCGATTTTGGGGGAGATCTGCCACTGTCACCATATAAAGATTTACTTTTTTTATGTTGCTATCCACAAGGGGGTGCAAGTCATGCAAACATTTTCACTTGCACCTAATCATACAGCTATAAATCTCTGTTGGGGACTGAAGCTTACCCCATTTCATCCAGAAAAGAAAAAATCAGTTTTGGGATCAGCTCTGCTTTAAAATAGGATAACTCCCCTTTACCTTCAGTGTTGCTATTACTAATTTATTGTACTTGTTTATTTTAGGTAACCACATCACCCCGCTGTATCTGGAAAGTCACATGTTTCCTGGCCAACCCCGCCTAGTTCAGCAGACGATACCTCAGCAGCAAGGATATCAGCAGGTCTGAGCAGTGCAGTATAGTTCGTATATTGTGGTGTTTAATAGGCTCTGTGATGTTTCAATAGATCCTTCTGACCCTTCACTATGTACTCAGAAGGGATTTGAGGAGATGATTTAGCTGAGAGACCTGCTAATTGTTAGAGGTTTCAGCCATTATTAAAAAAAACTATAGAGATAGAAATGAGCGGCGGCCCTGCACACTTTTTCTGATGCAAGCTCTAATAGATTTTCATAGTTTCTAAACTACTTGTGGAGTTGCGGACAAGTATAAATGATATCTAGTGACACCAGGCTTCTCTGCCTACATATTGTGATCTAGGTTGGTGACTCCTAACAGCCCCTGAGCTTGCACCTTCACAAAAACTGGTCAGCAGCGGCAGCTTATTTCGCTCCTAGCAGGTCCTCTTTTAGCAAAATCTTTGTCTCCTGCTTGGGCTCTTAGAAAATGCTTGTGACTGTCATCTGCCTTTGAGTTTGCTCCCAAGAGCTTCTTGACAGGTACTCTGTGTCTAGCAATGTTTCCCATTCATTCAGCGTGCTCTTTATACTGGATGTAGCTTACCACCTCTTGTTTGCATGCGGTTTAAGATCCAACATGGTCGAAAGCCCAATATGGTGTGCACATGCTTTCAGGCACAGAAACAACGCAGCTGCCTGGTATGTAATATGAATTGCCAGACAGTGATGTTTTGAGGAAAGGTATACATAACTCAATATCACTAGCCTATTCTATTTATTGTAGGTATTTCTTTCTCTTCCATTGAAGGACACAGGATGTTTAAAAACTTGGTTTTACTGTCACCTACTGAGGATTTGGACACTGGCAAACAGGCAATTTTTGCTGTCCTTGCAGCACTGGATAGTCTGGCTTGAGAGTCATCTGACCCGGAAAAGGCCAACACCACAGCATTTGGGTATATCAACCATCAGGGAGGAGTCAAGTCTCACCACAGCAGAAGCGGAGGAGCAGGTTCTGTTCTGAGCAGGTTCTGTTCTGAGCAGGTTCTGTTCTGAGCAGGTTCTGTTCTGAGCAGGTTCTGTTCTGAGCAGGTTCTGTTCTGAGCAGGTTCTGTTCTGAGCAGGTTCTGTTCTGAGCAGGTTCTGTTCTGAGCAGGTTCTGTTCTGAGCAGGTTCTGTTCTGAGCAGGTTCTGTTCTGAGCAGGTTCTGTTCTGAGCAGGTTCTGTTCTGAGCAGGTTCTGTTCTGAGCAGGTTCTGTTCTGAGCAGGTTCTGTTCTGAGCAGGTTCTGTTCTGAGCAGGTTCTGTTCTGAGCAGGTTCTGTTCTGAGCAGGTTCTGTTCTGAGCAGGTTCTGTTCTGAGCAGGTTCTGTTCTGAGCAGGTTCTGTTCTGAGCAGGTTCTGTTCTGAGCAGGTTCTGTTCTGAGCAGGTTCTGTTCTGAGCAGGTTCTGTTCTGAGCAGGTTCTGTTCTGAGCAGGTTCTGTTCTGAGCAGGTTCTGTTCTGAGCAGGTTCTGATCTACCGAGCAGGTTCTGTTCTGAGCAGGTTCTGTTCTGAGCAGGTTCTGTTCTGAGCAGGTTCTGTTCCGAGCAGGTTCTGTTCCGAGCAGGTTCTGTTCCGAGCAGGTTCTGTTCCGAGCAGATCTTCACATTCCGGCCTTGTTTACTGTTTACATCCCAGTCATGAACAATTGGCTGGTAGACTTCCTCAGCCAGCAGCGTCTGAACCCAGAAGAGTGGTCTCTACATGTCACAGGTGGGGCAGGCCTCATGTAGACCTCCTGGCCGTTATGTTTAACAAACTGGACAAGTTTGCCTCCAGGTACAGGGATCCCCTATCTGAAGCAGTGGATACTCTTGTGGCTCTGTTGGATCAGTACACCTTGATCTACGCCTTTCATCCTCCGAATTTCCTTCATCTGCTTTGCAGGATCGAGTGAGGGGGCATTTTGGTGATCCTCATTGCTCTGGACTGGCGCAGGTGAATGTGACACTCTGACCTGATAAAACTCCGGCGGATGCTCCGTGGTTCTTCCAGATCGTCCGGATCTAGGAACGATTTAACATCCTGCTTTAGGGACACTAGCTTTAATTGATATTTTTGTTAAAGCCCAGGTTCCAAAGGACAAGGGCATCTCTGAGTCTATCTTTCTAGCTAAAAGCTATAAAGTCTACTGCTTGGAAGGTCTATCACTTGGTGTGAGGCTTCCACCGTATGGTTTTCTGTGTGGGACAAATTCATTCCGTCCTACTGGTATGACTGGAGCAACATTTGGCCTTCAGTTCTCTGTTCTTGCTATTTTGTTCAAGAAGCCATTGACTTCCAATTCTTTGATTAAGACTGCTCAACAAAAGACTATTCAAAAACTGCTCTTTGAACCCTTCAGAAATATTCCTTTCTTACACATAAGGTGGTGTTTCTTGTAGCCATGGTCACCATCTGCAAGATGGCTCTAAGCTCAGTATACCGTGAGCTACAGCTCGCGGTATACTGAGACGACGCAGCTGAAGCGGATCCCGACAATTATGTCTGGATCCGCCCAGCTGTGTGAGTGACAGCTGGCTCTGCCTATCTAGAGGCAGAGCCAGCTGTACCCTACCCCGTCCGTTCCGCCAGTCAGCGCTGCAGGATCGGAGCGGGGATTGGGGAATCCAGCCCCTCCCCTGTCACGGCAGAGAGCTGTGACAGGATCGAGAGGAGAGCGAACGCCGGTATGTGTTCGCTCACTTCCCGATCTACTGAGCAGAAATGTGACAGTCTCATTGTCACAGGTAGGCTAGAACTATGAGGTGAGTGAAAAGCACTCACCTCCTAGTTCTCCTTTAAGGACTTAAGGATCTGGTTCCACCCTTTCCTCTTGAGGCACACTCTACTACATCTGTGAGTGCCTCTTGGGCTCTTCAGCAACTGGCTGATTTTTGCCAGATTTGCAAGGCTGCCACCAGATTTTCTGTTCACATGCTTTCCAAATTTTGCCAGATGGATGTTCAGACTTCATCCGATGCTTTCTAAGTTCTCCCAGGTGGATGTTCAGGCATCATCTGATGCCTACTACGTTGTAAGGTGCTGCAGGCAGCTCTTTTAGCTGCAGGCATTTCCTTGTTTTTTTATAGTGGTCCCGTTAGTGTTCGTTATTGCCCACCCCCCAGCTGGACTGCTTTTTGTCACCCTGAAGACTAGTGTTCCTGTGTCCCTCAATAGACGAGAAGTTAGAGTCAGGATTTACTGTCTGTGTTACAGAGATTCTCCCTCACATCCCGCCTCCTTGACGGCAAGACAAGAAATAAGAGTGTGTGTCAATGGGAGAGGAAGACACAGAAAGCTGGCCATACACTTTAATGTTTTCTTTGTTCAACCTAATGCACTCGTATTACTTTTATTCCTTCATATAAGTCAAAGTGTACATGCTAATCTTGGAAGCAGTGTAATGTTTACTCTTTTTTTTTTGTCTTTTTGTTGCAGGCGGCAGCAACCCAACAGATTCCTATCTCTCTTCACAATTCTCTGCAGGCTCAGGCCCAGCTCAGTATGCGTGGAGGACTCCCTGTTTCCCAGTCTCAAGAAATGTATAACTCAATGCAGCCCTTTAGGTAATTTCATGTATTCATTCCATTAGCTGCAAATTGATGTTTTAGTTTTGTATAGCCACTGGTAAAAAGTTCAAATAAATTTGCCAGCTGGCTTTGTCTTCTCTTGTTAGAGATTGTGGCAAGTCACTTCATTTATTGATTTTTGGCATTATTTGTCATAGG